CTTGAGTGACATGGGCTTTCTCTGTAATAGCATCCCTAGTAATGGGCCATAATAATAGATATTGTGCTAATCAGAAAGTATACTACTAAGTATACTAATAAGCATCGAACTGACAACCATCAATAAACGGATTGTACAACAATGCTACTTTTTATTTGGTTGAATGCTAATTACTGCAGTTGGTTTTGTGATATATGTGTTATTTGTATCAATTAAAACATCATTACTGTGTTCTTTTTAGGAGTCTTTAAATGAAATTTAGATACTTGTTATTTCTAAGATAAATAACACTCTTGGTGCTTTGGTATTAGTTTTTTTTTTTTTTTTTTTGCTTGACCATTTTTATTTCTCAGACTGTTTTCAAATCAAGATTTAAATAAAATAATGAATATGGTTTTGACACTCAAATTATTAGCAAATAAAGAATAATTGAATTAGCTGAAATTTTCTATTTAATAGACATTTTATAATTTTGTAGGACAAAGTATTTTTTCTTTCTTTTCTTTTAGGCTGTCTGTGTGTGTGTGTGTGTGATGAGGTTGTGAAGCCGTAATAGGTTTTTTTTTTTTTTCCTTTCCAGCCTCTCACAGACTCACCCTCTCTTCTCCTCAACTCCTGGTTAAAACATTGCTGGTGGCTATGGGAAGTTAATTTCAGATTGTTATATATTTCCATTAATTTCGGCCGTCTGGTGCTGGACTGCCTTTGAGAACAGGGGGGTATCAGAGGCTCATTTTTGGGGTGTTCAGGAGTTCTTTCCCTTCGGCAGGCTCGACAGAGCTTTAGAAACAGATAGCTGATAGGAGAGCGGTTTCATCACGTTCATTAGCCATTGGTCCCCCTTTTTTTCTCCTCCAACTTGGAGTTGTGACTGAAAGGATGGGGTGAGTGCCTCAGAAAGTTTAAACAAAACGTCTCTTCTGAGAGCCCATCTGAAAAAGCCCCGCAGCTAGTCTCAATGCAGAAAAAAGGGGAGGTTTGGCCTGACACTGACGTTTGAAAGCAAACATGCGCTCGCACACACACATTAGGGATAGCTTCTTTCGTACACACCCACGTACTTAGAATCATATACAGACAATAC